TTAAATGCGATGTTTTTCAAGATTCTGGCGAGCATTAGAGTGCATTCCCTGAGTCATTCATGGAACATCATGCTACACAAGTGCCTATTTACGTCTGCGTGTAACTCGCTGTTTTTAGCTCTCTCGCTCTTTTCGCCGTCTCTCTCAAAAATAGTCTACAAGGCTGATTTCTGAACCAGGGCTTTAATCGCAATATGGCAAAAAACCTGAACACCTGGCTTAAGCCCAAATTGCCTCTGCCACCCTTCCCCACCCTCCCACACGCCCCATAGAATTCTCTGGCCCTCCTAACCATGCCGAGGCAATCCCCTCCAAAAACGGAGTGCGCAAAACATTGGCCGGAAATGAGGAGTGGGAGCGCCAGTTGGGCCCGACCACCCCCCACGCATACCCCCCGAAATGCTCCATTTTTGAAGCGAGCCGAATTTGAGGGGGACGGATGGCGAGACATTCGCCGAAATAGACCCCCAGCCATTTCACGCTGGGGGAGGGGGTTCTGGCAACGATTACTCATCTTTTCATCGAGCGCCATTTGTTGTTTTTCGGAATCTCTTGCCGCTCTGGGAGTGTGGATCCTATCATTATGGCCTCTCGGGTTTTTTATTGACGTTTTTAGCCGTCGTCGGGATTTTAGGTGAGACTAAGCCTAAAGTGCACAATTTTGCGCTGATTCTGATATTGCATACCAAATTTGCGAAATCGCCATTTTCCAAAAGTACTGAACGACCAAAGACCGATAAATACCCGAAATGAGCCACTTCATGTGGTTTTCCCCGACTTAAATTGTCCATAACTTTTAGAAAAAAACTATTCCGCAAATATTACATTAACTCCTATACGTAACCACCGCAAAATTCTGCACAAAATAAGTTTGTTCATTGGCCTGGAAATAGCGACGACACTAAAAAACGTTCCTTGTTAGGCTTATGTTAGCGGCTTTCCAATAAACATGGATTTGTTGAAATATACGTAATCGTTATTTATAAACAACTTTCCTATCGATTAAAGCATGGAATTCATTGAATTCTTTGGCACTGCCCTTCCCTCATCATCTCAAGACAAAATATTTGTGGAAGAAGCGCTCAAATGGCATGGGAAGCTCACCAAACGCAGAACAATAAAAAAAATCCATCAGTGATCTTCTAATTTTTCTGCATCATTAAAAATTTTTTCTTGCGTCTAATCGAGGTTGCAATTTCAGATAGACTCGCGTGGACACCGATTCTGCGCGGCCGAGCAGTCGGCCATCAACACGCCAGCAATCGCCGCCGCCCTCGTCACCAAACATTTCAAGGGGAGGACGCCTGAACAGCTCTCCATACGGGTACGTCTTAAAAAATCTGGATATCTCGGAAATGTTGCATTTTTTGTCACCTCCAAAAAGTACTTTAGGTGGGCGACATCTTGTCGATAATCGAAATGTCGGCGGTGCCGTCAAACGGGTCGACGTGGTGGAAAGCAAAGCTGACGATCCCCGTCGGAAATCACGGTTCACTTGACGGCGACGACGACGCTGACACGGACAACAACGGAAATATACGGGTTTGTCTTTTCAATTTTTTTACTAGCTAGCATTTTAACTAGTAAAAAATAACTTTCAGTACGTATTCTGAAACAAAAAAAACGTAAGTAAAAAAGGTCAAATGCGCATTCCTGCGTCAAATTTTAACGACCCATCTTTTAAAAAATGAAAATACGATAAGTTGCCGCTTAGGTATTCCAAATTGGCTACTTCCCATCCGATTGTGTGACGCTATTCGACGATAAGGCAGTCACCACCCCTAGCCCGATAGCCCCCAAACGGTTACCTTTAACGGCAGCAAAACGGGTACGTTAACCTCATTATAAAAATATGCCACTAAAATTCAGATTGGCGAGATGGTGCGCAGAAAGGTGAAGCGAAAGGAGCCGGTGTTTAGCGTCGATCTCGTTCAGCATCTCCAGCGAACCGCTAGGCCAGGTATCAAAAATTACCTCTATCACCTAAAGGCAAATCTTCTAGTGCCGCTAATCCTGCAACGATGTGTGGAGGCAATAGAAAAACATGGAATTGTGACTGGCATATATCGACAGTGCGGCATCCAGTCTAACATCCAGAAATTACGGTAGTTATATGCAATTTATAAGAATCTGGGTTTTCAGGGCAAAGTTTGACTGCGGACTGGAGCCGAACCTCTCCGAATTTGCCATCGTGAGAGACATCTACTCCGTCTCCTCCCTGCTCAAACAATATTTCCGACAGCTACCCAACCCCCTCTTCACCTTCGAACTCTATGCAGATTTGATCGTAAGTTACTGTGATATCAGAAATTTACGTTATTCTAGGCGGCCGGTGAGCAACGGGACGAGCGGATACGGGTTGAGTGCCTTCGTGATGTTTTGCAACGGCTTGTACCCGAGCATTATAGGTAGGAATATAACGTCACGTCAAAAAAAATTATTTCAGAACCGCACGCTACCTGATTTTCCACCTCTCACGGCTCTGCGAGCAAAAAGACCTCACTGATATGAGCTCGCGTAACTTCGCCATCGTCTGGGCACCAAATTTGTTTCGGTACGTTAGAGAGCCTCCGTACACCACGCGTTGTGTGCGTACAGCCTCGGAAGCTCACTAAAAATCATTACTTTTCAGAGCGCCACCTACACTCGGTGAAGGCGATTCACACCTGTTGAGCGGACTAAATATGCACACTGCCCTCTGCCATTTCATGATAAACCATGCGGCGGAATTGTTTCCGGAGGAGCAAGAAAATGACGTCTTCCCAGAAGGTATCCATTAAATAGTAGGCCTAATGTTCCGTTTCAGTGATCTCAACCCAAGTAAACGGTCGTCCCCTGTTCGACGTGCCCTCTAATGCTTCCCTCGGCACCTTATCATCACAACAAAGCAATGGATATTCTGATGAGAAAGCGTAAGCGGTGTACTTTCTGCCCAATTAATGCTTAAAATATAGACCTTCACGGTGGTCGCGCTTTATCCGTGGCACCTCGGTGGAACAACTGATTGGCGGGTTGGGGAGGAGACAGACCACCCAAGTATATGGAGGATCGTCTGCCAGCAACACGCCAGTGGCCAATATTCGGAATGACAAGGAGGGGATCAAGTGGAGAAGGTTCGGAATTCATACCACATCCTAAAAAGCAGTTTCAGAAGTCGCTCGACCGATGCGGCCATGCGGCAATCGCGCTCCGAATCGCTACTATCGATGGTGCACCGAGGGGCAGAGGGATTGAGGTAAGGTAACAGGTGCTTTTGCATTATCGAGGGAGGTTCATAATTTTTCTCCATTATTTCCGAACTGCTTAGTTACGTAATAAAAAGTGTAAGTAAGTGTAGCCATATTCACGCAGAGAAATTATCCAAAAAAAAACGGAAAAACTTCTTAAAAATTGGAAAATTGGTCAAAACCCGTACGAAAAATAGCTTTTCTGGTATTTTTTCAACAAAATTCATAAAGTTTTTGCGTCTAGGAATTCAAAAAACCAGCTTAGAACAAATGCCTCTATCTATATCAACAATATTCGGTCCTATGAAAAAAGTCTCCTGCTATAAAACACCGGACCGCCTCCGTTCCCCCGATACTGCCTAAGCACCAGCAAAGACAATAAATTACAATCAGTATTCATATAATCATTTCAGAGAAGGCGTCAGAAGCCTTGCTGGTCGTGCCCGCTCGATGCGCCCATATGGGGGACAAAGAGCATCAACAGTCGAAACGGTAAGCAACGTCTTCAACAAGTACACCCATACCCACGTAGAAGATGCACGACAGCACCGTGTCAACAACTTCGCATTTAACCTCTGACGTAAAGGACGTCGCACCCAACAAAAGCCCCTCGATTTTGCGCCGCTTCTCCCACAGGTGTGCACTTACCCAGGTTTTTGAGGCAGGAGATTTTTAGGGAACGAAACGGTGTTGGGACGCCAGATTCACCCCGCCGGGCAGTCTACTTCCATAATGACGTTTCGGAACGTAAGTCTGATAACAGTTTAACCACCAAAAATTCCCCTATAGATGAAGAAGACGAAGCCGATGAAGCTGTAAACAAAGCAGCTGAAGAAAACGTGACAAATGTAGAGGTAGAAAAAGAACTGGTTCCGCTCGCCGAACGCTCGTCTCCGGTTGAAGAGTGGTCATCCGATGAGCCGGATGTTGCAAGGTTTGACAAAAAAAAACCCCCGTGAAAAACATGTCAATCCAGGTCGAGCTCATCCAGCCCGCAACTCGAGATGAGCCGCTACGACAATGTGACCCCAACGAAGGACTTTAAATACATAATGTAAGGCTTTATGCAATTGTCAACCTCTAGCTCCCGTTCAGAAGGAAAGACTTGTTCCCGACAATCGCCGAAGACAACTCCCAATAATTTACGCGCGACAGCCAAAACCCCCCTTTGATTCTCATTTTCATCAATTGCTTGTCTGTGAATTACGCAACAAACAATTCCGTCTACGGGCCGTGATTTTCCTCAAAAGAAACTGCTTATAAAATGTATTGTTGATTCGGTTCGCATAAAGATGATTATTTTACGCAAGTTTCAAGAAATGCACCATTAAAGGGCTCACGGAATAGCAATAAATATAACCTCTGTCAATCGTGATCACTATCACCGATACGTATGCATCAGTCACTTTCATAAACCTCTTCTACACATCATAAACCTGCTAAAACATCATTTTCTTTCCATCGGAATGAGTTGGTTTTACCGTTTCCGAGAATTCCACCATTACTCACCCATCGAGTACGGCGTGCTACAATTGCCGGGGTTTTCTGTGCACTCTGCCCCAAATTACATTTGGTCATCAGTTTCACGTCGAAGCTTCCGGCCAGCCGGTGAAGCTTATTTCCACAACCCTGTGATTTGATAAACTCCCCTTATTTCACCGAAAAATTTGCTTATCTCAAAACCTTGAGCCGTAGGGACTTTTACTGGTCTTACTGGCCTTTCGCATTTCATTTTGCCCCTCTATCTGGCGCCTTCAATGTTTTATTTTCCAGATGTCCGTACAACAAGTCTTCGTCATTTCACGAGCCGGAAGCTTAATCTACGAGTGGTCGACGCCGGAGACGACGATGCCGAACATTGAACGGATCTTCGACTGGCCCCTGGGTCTACAACTCGAAAACGTCGACGGAAAACCGGTGGTCGTCTGGGGCTCCGGCGTTCCCCCACGCTACTTTGTTTCCGCTGTCAATGGGATCGCTGTGAACGGGACGAGCTTCACAAAAGAAGATCAAAGAATATCCGTGTTCGACTTCGTCGCTGAGCAATCCAATTACCCGGTGAAACTAGGGTTTTCAATGCCAATGGTCTCCACCAATGAGAAGATCATCCTTTCAAGCACATTCCACTCGTTGTACACGATTGCCGTACAGTTGAGCCCGGCACCTGGCAGCAGCGGAATCGAGGTTTTGGAAACAACACAATTCCGGCTCCATTGCCTGCAATCAAGGACTGGCGTCAAATTCGTTGTCGTAACTTCGTCAGGTGGTAATCCACAAGCCCACCAGTTCCTCGCAAAGCTCTACGAACTCTACGCCGACTATGCACTCAAGAACCCCTTTTTATTCCATCGACATGCCGATTCGATGCCATAAATTTGACGACGGTCTGCGAGCTTTGTTAGATAGGATAGGAAAATTTTCTGCTGTTACTGTTTGATTTGCTTTTGACGTGTTCTCCATTGTGCATATTTTCTACGGGTGTGAAAGTGATAAAAGTCTTGTTTAGGATGTCGGAATCGCTGGCGAGGAGCATGGATTTGTCCGACTCGATCTCCCCTATTACGGCACTTTGCGTCGTCGCTGATAAGAACAAGGCGCCTAGAGGATTTACAGCGGTACGTGTTGTCGGAGATTAAAAGTATTGACTGAATTTTAGTTGACCAAATCGAACGATGATGCTTCGGATGCGGACCTTTGGCACGAAAGTTCATTCAGGTGTGTGCATTTAGATGAATCTGTTTAGCTATAGTTTCGCTTATTCGTATCGATTTTTTGATTGCGCTAGTTACGGCCAAAATAGGTTATCTCGTTCGAACCGGTAGAAATTGCTTTTTTAAGATTTTTTCCAATGTTTTGATTTAGCATCTTCTCGCGTCCCGTCCGCTACTTATGTTACAGCCGAGAGAAGCCGAATGCCGCCTATAAGGTTTTCTTGATTTCCTCATTCTCTAAAACGACAATTAGGGTTCAATATCCGTGGTGACGGACATCACGGTTGTCAAGGAAAATGACCCGATACCGCACGGATTCGTTGCTATCGACTACACCGCGGATTCACGTAAGGAATAGGGTTTTTTATGAAATTTTTGCATAGGAGAGCGAGCCCTGCGTAAAAGATTCATCTGCGTGAAAACGGAGCCCCTCGACGCCGCGGTCGATGCTGTTGGCGAGGTTTGCGTTCAGCCAGAAATTATAATCTTCTTTAGGTAATCATCCTCAACAAAAACAAGAAGACGCCCAAAGATTACACCAACGCTGGGTATAGAATCTAAAGTTTTCAAATGTGTTATTTTTCCAGCGAGGTCGATGGCGCAATGATTTGCTTCCGTGTCATCGTCATTCCTTCAAACTACGGATTATCGCATAGCGCTTCGTAAGGAATTTTTTTTTTTTCTATTGATCCTGATTTAGGGAAAGGAATCTGTCTACAAGCTCGGCCCCCGGTCAAGGATTGTATCCATCAGTTCCAGGTGATTTTCTTGTTTCATTCTGACCAATGTCGTTTTTAGGATTGGGACAACCATCTCACTCAACCTCAGCGCTCTCCCAAGTCGATCCTCTACGTTCGCCGGTGAATGCTTTTACGATTAAGGTGTGTTGTGGTTAACCCATTTTGTTTGATACCTTACGATTATTGGCATGATCTTTTGTTTACTTTACTATTTATAATTGGTACTATCGCATATCGGGGCGGGAGAACCGATTACCGATTCTAGTAACTTATTAGGCGGCAGTTCACTAGTCTTTTCAGTATTTCTATAAACAATCAAAATTTTGAAAAACGAAAACCGAAATTTTTGACAAGAATCGGCCATTTTCGGTCGAAAAATCGATATTCTATATTATTAATAAAAATTGTGTAATTTTTGACGCTGATGTTATTCACAAACCGATTTAGAAGCACTTTCGCTAGTTATTTTAGAGAAATAGATCCTAATACAAATGAGTTGCCCCTCCCTACCCCCCCCCACCCCCGATAATGCGAAAGGACCTGGTAATTTAATGGAAATTGGACGTCAAACACCATGCTCAGTCGTTGAGAATGTATCCAGGCATCTGTTTATATTGTGCTTGACTGTATGCAGCAATTTTGATCCTCCGTTTCTATCCTCTCCTCCATATACGTCGTGTTTTCAGCAATCGAGCACGGGCCCTAAGCCGATAGACGGTGTCGAGTTCAAGGTCAACCCACTTTTTGAATGCAACTCTGGCAAGCATAGGGTGAGTTGCTCAAGTGACTGCAACTTTACGCTAAAAATTTTTTTGGTTTTCTGCAAACCTTTATTTCAGGAAGCCCCACTGCCGCCATTCCCCGAAATCGACCTCGGGAAGCTGGATTCCGACGAATACACCTACCGCTTCCAAATTGAACAGTCCGCCCTGTCTTATTGAGTCGTCGTGTATTTTTGTATTTTTTTTTTGCTGTCCGCTATAGGTATTTTGATATTGTACATACGGGTACTTCTTCCTCTAAGCTGCTTTTTCTGAATAAACTTTGCCTTGCCGGGGAGAGCCGACGAATGCACGCGAGCAGCGATTTTTTCGCTTGTTGGACCGGAAAGCTAATTGCCTCTCACCGGGGCAACGAGAAAACTTATGGCAGGGGGCCATTGGCGGGCCGCGATTCTGGCTTCTCGTCAGGTGGGCCCCCGAAATTGCTGGGGGCAGAGGGGGAAATTACCTATTTTTGGTGATCGATCGTCATTTCCGGAAGGTTTTGGAGTTGGCTTTGCTTTAGAAGTTTTGCTCACCAAAAGTTAGCGAGAAAATGGGTGTTGCGTTACCAAATTTCTGGCTATGTTTTCTAACCATTTTTACTGTAGTTCACCTGACTATATCCTTACAATCGCGTGGATCAGTTAACTTTCTGTTTGTCTGCAGGCGCGTGGTCGGCGCGGCTTGGGTGCAATATTTGAGGCGGCCCGGGTAAAGTGATATCCCCCCGGCGAACCGGTGGACCCATTTTTTCCACGCGGCCATCCACACGTCGAGATTCTTTATTCATTTTGGGTCGGCGCGCGGGGGCGCCAGTAATTTGATATCGAGGACATTCGAGGTGGAACGTTGGCGGTAGACAAAGCGAATAAATGGAAGTGCCGAGTTTTCTGTTTGATGCCGAGTTTTTTTTTGCTAAATTATCATTTGCCCGTCTTTTGAGCCCGATACGAAATGGCTTACTTGTTGTTCTCGCTGCAGAAAACCGCGTATTCAATACAAACCCCGCCTCTCGGTTTGCAAAACCATTCACCCGTTTCTGAATAGATTCTCCCCGACTTTTCCTTAGTCACTCGTCATCCCAACGCCGACTCATCCGATCCCCTTATCGTATTTCTGCTCGTGGGCGCTGGTTTAAGACCGATTTTTCCGGGAAACGACGAGTCACCGCCATTTTTCGAAAAGTTGATTAGGATCGCTATCGCTGGTGATCAAAATAGATGCAAAATTGGGTAATTTTCCTAGGGCAAGTTTTTATTAAATTGTTTTGTACACTTTTAAAACAGGATTAACTACTCTAAATTCCATACGCCAAAATAGTTGCGATTCCTAGTATTGGTGATCGCTTGAAAACCCTTAAAAACAAGCAATTCGACCTTTTTCGGTTTCCTCCATATGAATCATAGCCATTTTCTGAAATTTTCTTTCCCTGAAACGGCATTCGAGTGATCTCATTGTTGTCATTGTAAAAGCACGGCCCAGCAGGCCCGCATTTTTAGCATTTCTTGCCCCCAATTTTGGTTCTTTATTTCGATCCGGACTACAATCTGCTTCACCCAAAATTTACGCCTTTTTCCGAACGCCTCTAAATGATCCAATTAGACATATTTTTGAAGAAAAAAAATTATACTCTAGGGATGCCATTATTTTTTTTTTTTTTTTTTTTTTTTTTTTGTAGATACCAATTTAATTAAAAAGATTCCTTTCGTCGTTTTCCGATTTTGCGACTGTTTTCTAGACCGGAAAACCACCACCACCACATCAGCCGCTCACAGCGCGAGCACACATCGTAAAGTGATCGAATTTGCATAATCACACACCTCCGCCCTGCCCTCTATTTTGTGCCCAAATGAACTCGTTTGTCCACTGGCATGCAGCAAGGCTACAGAAACTATGCTTGTCGACCCCCGGATTTGCAGCTAATTGCTTTTGTATATAAGGGCTGAAAAAAAAAAAAAAAAAAAAAAAAAAGGTTTGAAGGTTGTGGAGAAATTCGCTGGGGGTGATTTATGTATTTTTGTAACTTTTTTCGCGCCATCATTATGATATTGCTGCCCGGGTTAGTTAGGGCGTATTTTTGCCTCTTTAGGGTTCGATCAAAGTGTTGAGAGTCGTTTGGGCATAATAATTTTTTCCTTAGTAACCAATTTTTCAAATATACATAGCGGAAATAGTGTTTCTAAGCCCTTACTAACCCTAAACGTAATGACTTTACAAACGTTTATATCTAGATTTAGATTTACATATATCTGTATAGATTTTGTCCAAAATTAGACTTTTTGTTTCTATGGTTTTTATGGTTGAAATATGGCTATATTCTACTACAAACAATAAAAAATACTTCCTATTAAGTTACTAGCGCTTTCTACACCCCCCGGATAATGTGAAAGTATCAAACTCTGATTTTGAAAATTGACTTCGAATAACTAGTTTTCCAAAAAAACGTTCTGCCGTGTTTTTGACACTTTTAGAGTGCACAATACCCGAAAATCCGAACACTACCAACACTCAATGCCGCCAGACTTGAGCAAACTTGCCGCCCGTCACCCCAAGCATTTTTCAGCGAAAACCCCCGGCCATTTCCATGTTGGGAAATGTATTTTGAGGTCAACGGCCCATGTGTTATTTGCAGTGTTGAGGGCCCAGGAGAAAAGGGACTGGGACTTTGGATAGGTCAGAAATTGAGGCGAAAAGCGGGGGGCGGGCCCTATCTAACCCACACAAGTCACACCTTCAGCCCCCCATTCTGGTCCCGTAGCGGGGAGAAACTCTATCTCGTGGTCAGCTTCTCCTTCTTTGGCATCTCCCAGCTACAAATAGTCGGGAGGAGCGGAGAGCTGCGGGTTCAGCTTCTGATTAGGGGACTGCTCTGCCTCTGCCCGGTTTGGGTCTGTTTTTTTAGCCTAAACAGCTGTCAATAGGCATTGTTGATCGGTGGATTAAATTATTAGAAGCGGATTTAAAAGGGTTAGGAAGATAGCAGAAGCTGATTAATCTTGTTACACAGGATAATAAGCTTCGATTTTAGAACTAGATGTGTAGAAAGGCATTCTCTTAGCTGTCCTTGGTTTCTGTTAGCTTAGAATATATATTAGAGTTTACTTGATCTTGTTTCTCTCCTGCCACTTTCTCTCTCTCTCTCTCACTCTCTCGCTATACCTATCGCGCTGTATCATTCTCTCGCTATCTCTCACCGTCTCTCTATCTCTCTAGCTCGCT